GCTTTACTCTCCACTCTAGTCCTCTGTGGCTATGTCACTGACTCTGGGCCCAGGAGTTCCCAGGCCTTGCCATACTGCTGGCCAACCAAGTCTCTACCTGGGTTCACAGAAGTCTCTTGAATGTGGTAGGGCTTAGCTTGCAGCTTCATTGCTGTTTTCACCTCACTTCCCCTTATCAGTGACCAACGTGGTCACCAGTCAGAGTGCTTTTCTGCTTGTGTATTCCCATTGAGTCTTAGTCTTAGAAGGCAGTTTGCCCTGAGGGCACCCAACCACTTACCTCAATGTCTCCTGGGTGAGCAACTTGCTTGTTCTTGTAGTCAATATCTTTTTGATGTTTACATTTTACAGCACTGCCTCATAGATCCATGAGAAAACATACCTGGGTTTTCAAACTGGCAAGAATCTTAGTCTTTAAAAAAGATTTCTATACATTTCAAAAAGAAGCCAACAAATAATTTACAGTTTCATTTTCTAAAGAAAATGCTCTAAGAAGAAAGACAGACAGTTCTCTTTGCCCTTTTGTGCCGAGGACCAGCCTCGACATAATTATTAGGAGGGTCTCGATAGGAGGATGTGGAGTCAGCGAATGAAAATAAAATAAAATAAAATAAAAAAAACTCAAAAAGTCAATGGGTCATTTTGAGTCTCAGGCAGATGATGGTAATGGCTCTCTCTGATGACTCCTCTCACTGCCTGCTGCCTTGACTGTTTATTTAAAAATTGTTGCTTCTTATATCCCATTTAGAACATACTGTGATCTCATAACAGTCACGTACAAGCAGTTACAAATCAAACAAATATTACATTATTACATCAATGGTACAAGAGGAATACAAGGTCACCAAACATTTCTGTGTCTCTATACTCCTTAGTTACTCCTTAGTTACCATGATAACGTCTGCCTTCTGTGAGTGACTCTGTTTCTCTCTAATCCTCCCTAAAATGTCAGGTTAATTTTAAACAACAAACTTCTACATCTTAATTTCTAACTTTACCAACAACTATTACTTTCTATAAATTCATTAGTTACAGCTTACAATCAAAAACATAATTTTTACTATAACTGGTCATACATATAATTGATCAAACAATAAAAACAAGAACATAAAAGTACCCTAAAGTTTCATAGTTAAGAACAAAGCAGTAATTCTCTCATGCTAACAATTTCTCAAAACTTCTAATCAAACTCCTACCTCTGTTCCCAAGCTCTCACTGCCCTTGACTGTCTCCTAAGCTACTTTCTAAAAGCCTTAATGTCCTTGACTAAAACCACCTGGAATGTTTCTTACAATTTTAAGCTTGAATTGCTAAAACTTAGCTAGTGTGGTTATAGCTAACATTAAAACTTATTGTTAATGTAAAAAACAATTTTTATAACTACATGAGATTGAATATGGTGTGAAAGTTAGTGTTAATGTGAAAGGCAACTATTTTATCATGAGGTTTGTTTAAAGTATCTAATGATTATGCAAGATTTTCTAAAACTTCTTATAGGGAAATTAGAAATAAACTATTTTTCCAAGGGAAAGCTAGAAACCATGGGTCTCCTGCGTGAATCATCCCTTGTAGCTTTGCTATCCAAGGAGGGCATTCATTGTTGCTCTGCTAAACAATGAACTTTTCATGCATAAGGCTTCTTGCAGTTCTGCTCCTTGGCAGGATGGCGTCCGCCACTTTTGCACTGTTGTTGCTGTCAGGTGCCTTTGAAATTGTTCCAACTCATGCACAATAGAACAAAACACTGCCGGATCCTGTGTCATCCTCACAATTGTTGTCATGTATAATAAAGAAAAGTTCATATCAAGGAGAAGACTCACACAGTTGTAGAGGTGGGAGAGCCAAGTCTGGGTCAGAAGAGCCAAGACTGGCAGGTCAGTCAGCAGGTAGGCAGATCTGGCAGGTAGGTCCAGCAGTTAGGTAGTCAGTCAGTCAGTCAGGCAGGCAGATAATAGAGCAGGCCACTGGCTCAATGCCAAAGAACTGGAAGTTGTAGGATGAGCCAGATGCAAGATTCAGACCTGGCAGAGAGCAAGCAAACTTTGTCTGATTGGAAGCAGGCTACACCTTTGAGGACACATTGTTTCAGTTGATTGGCTGCTCATAGCAGACCTCATCAGAGTTAATTACATTATATTAGAACTCATTATGGGGATGATACATCTCAGTTGCCAAACCACTGAGAATCCGGCCCCAGTCAAGTTGACACAAAATCTTTACTACCACAGTCCACCCCTTGTTAACTTGGCACCTGTACATATCTCCTTACACCACATACATAATCTCTAAATAGTGACAATTATAAAATCATATTTGTGTCTAACATGACACAACACATGTACAACTGAAAACACACTGACTTCATTTACAGCTTATATTTCACAAATGAACAAAGAAAAATATTGTGTATATATATATATAATTATTAAGTGCTGTCAAGTCGGTTCTGACTCATAGCAACCCTTTATAGGGCTCCCAAGGTTTCAAATCTTTGCAGGAGCAGAAAGCCTCATCTTTCCCCTGACAGAGTGACTGGTGAGCTTAAACCATGGACCTTGTGATTTGCAGTCCAGTGTTTATCATAAATGTTCTCTCTACACACACACACACACACACACACATATTTATAGCAATTACAGCCCTTTTTTCTGCAATTGGTTAAGTGACTGTAGCTGGTATTTAGAACTACCTTCTTCCACTATCCATTCCATATTCCCTTTGTCATTGGCAAGCACTTCAGCTGGTGGTGGTTGTTTGCCCAAACCTTAATTCCTGAAGTCATATTGGAATTGGGTTGCTGTAGTTTACCATTGACTTTAATCACAGGGTATGGTAGTGCTGGAAGTTATCCTAAGGAATCTCCTGGATTCCACATATATTTACCTCCATTATGTAATGCTAATCCAATTTCCCCTTGGTAATCAGGATCAGTTAGACCACCCAGTTCAGTAACTCCCTTCTTTGCCTGTTGAGAAGCCGCAAATGGTCAGGGGGAATTCTTAACTTCCAGTTCAGTGGAATCAGTGATGTGTCTCCAGGTGGAGTATTTCTCCCTTTGGAACTAAAATGGTCAGACCAGAACAGCATAGTGTCACAGAGACAGGAAGCAAAAATATTTTCAAGTGGGCCACTCCTCTTTTGAGTCCTTGGTTTCTGGACCAATGCATCCGGGCTATTGGAGAAACAGCACCATATACTGGACACTAGTTTAGAACATATACCTTACCTTCTAAAGGACATTGCCCCAACCATGCAAGGTATTGCTATTTAGCTGTCACTGTAATTGTATCTTTAGAAAGTTAACCTGTAGTTTGATTAAGACAGCTGGTTCAGGATGATGAGGAATGTGGTAAGAACAGTGAATTTCATGAACATGGGTCCATTGTCACACGTCATTTGCTGTAAAGTGGGTCCCTTGATCTGAGATGAGGCTGTGAGGGATACCATGATGGTGGATAAAGCATTTTATAAGTTCATAGATGGTAGTTTTGGCAGAAGCATTGTGTGCAGGGAAGGTAAATCCATATCCAGAGTAAGTGTCTATTCCAGTAAGAGTAAAATGCTGCCCTTTCCATGATGGCATGATGCAAGTGGTCAAATGTGATCAGCCTGCCACCAGGTTGCTGGCTGATCTCCCTGAGTAATGGTTCCATGTCTCAGACTCATTGTTGGTTCCTACTGCTGGCAGATTGGGCACTCAGCAGTGACTATGGTCAAACCAACTTTGATGAGTTGAAGCCCATGCTGCTTATTCCATAAACGACTTCCATGCGTTCCACCATTGCCACTTTGTTCATGAAGTCATTGGGCAATGACAGGAGTGGTTGGAGAAAAGCATGATTAGTTTCTACAGAATGTACCATCCTGCCCATTTGATTGCTAAAATCTTCCTCTGCCAAGGCAACCCTTTGGTATGCATTCACATGAGACACAAATATCTGCACTTTATAGCCCCTTTCAAAGAGGTCCATTCACATAGCTCTTTACCCCACCTCCTTGTCACTAATTTTCCAATCATGTTCCTTCCAAGTCCCTGACCATGCAGGAATAAAAATGGCCACAGCTCATGAGTCAGTATGCAGTTGTACAGTTGTACATCTGGTCATTTCTCCTTCCAAGAAATATGAAAAAACGACGTGCACTGCTCGAAGTTCTGCCCATTAGGAGATTTCCCTTCTCCACTGTCCTTCAAGGAAATCCCAGAAAGGGCTGTAGTGTTTTTGCTGTCCATTTTCAAGTGGTGCCTGCAAATCGTGTAGAACCATCTGTAAACAAAGCATGAGTTTTCTTGTCCTCAATCAACTGATCATAAGGAACTACCCATGCGACCAAAGATGTATACTGGGAGAGGGAAGGTAAGTGACAGGAATGGAAACCATGGGCATTTGGGCCACTTCCTCATGCAATTTACTTGTGCCTTCAGGTCTTACTTGAGCCTGGTCTCATATATATCACTTTCATTTAATGATGGAGTATTTCTGTGCATGTTCAATTTTATGACTTTTCAGGTCAGACAACACCCAATTCATAATGGATAACTCTAGTTGCTAGTTGACTTGGTGTTCAGTCTCTATAACAATCCAAAAGCTGTTTCTCAAAAGGAGAGAAGTTATCTTAAGGAGATGGCAACATTTTTAGGGTCTGTGCTATGACTCACCAATAGGGATCAGCCAAAGACTCCATATTGCATCTCTATCTGCCACTGTCACTTCAAGTACCATGGGTCAGCTGGGTCATATGGCTAAAGTGACAGAGTGGCTTGTATGGTATGCTGTACCTGTGGCAGAGCCTTCTTTTGTTCTAGGCCTCACTCAAAAGTAGTAGCTTTTTGGCTTCGTTTTGCTGGAGGAGAGAGGTGGTCCGGATCCCTTCAGGTTGTTTGAAGGAATCTTGGTCATTTGGGTGCGGCACAAATCGAGGTGAGGGAAGAGGGAGGAAAATCCCCCAGATCCCTGCAGGATTAATTTATTCAAAAGGGAAATAATAAGAAAATACTCAATATGCAAAAATCTTGTGAAGAAAATGAAGGAAAGCCGCAGAACATGGCAACGGCGGAGGAAGACCGCTCTTCAGGAGATGTCCCACAGGCGGCAGGAGAGCTTCAACCTTCCCGAGAAGGTGTAAGCCAGGAAGCCCAAGGAAACCTTAGAGGAGGGCTGGCTCAACCTGGCCAGAGATTTAAAGAGGACACTCCCGTTAGGCATTTGGACCCTGAAGAAATAATAAGAGGAGTAGATGAGTTGGAAAGGCTTAGGGAAGAGATAAGAAGAGTAAGAAATAAGTTTGTGATGATGCATTGGAAGCAGAGACATTCTAGAAGCCGTCCTTATCCTGTTTGCTTTAGGCCTTGAATTCTTTGTCTGATATTAAGATCTGGCCCCTGCTTTTCTCTTTGTTAGCATTTTCTGATGTATCTTTGATCTTCATTTTACTCTTAATCTGGTGGGATTTTGTTTAGGTAGTTTTCCTTGTTAACCAGCATCTCACTGGATTTTGTATGTTAACACATTTCCTAGGTCTGTTTTTCAATGGGAAAGTTTCACACATGTGCATGGAAAGATGTTCATTCCATATTATAAAGTAGAACATAACAGGATACAAAACAGCGTATTTAGTATCAGTTCACATATGTAGGATAAAAATCCCAAATTTTGTGTGTGTGTACATACATATATCAGAAACGTAACTGCTTATTTCTATGTGGTGTGAGTTTTTTGTTTTTCTGCTTTTTGCTTATATGTGTTTTTTAATGAACACATTACTTGTGTCATATAAAAAAAATTAAAGATTTTTTTTATATAAAAAAAAAATAGTAGCTTTTTGAGTCACTTGATAACTAGGCCAGAGTAGCACACCCACATGAGGATTATATTACCTTCAAAACCAAAGAGGCCCTTTTGTGGGACAGACCAGATGCAATGAATTATCCTTCACTTTAGTAGGAATATCTCTACATGCTCCACACCACTGAGCCCCCAGAAATTTCACTGAAGTGGAAGGTGTCTGAACTTCTGTTTAATTATTTTCCAACCCTCTAAGATGCAGATAAGGAGCTCTGGTAGCGTAGTGGTTACGAATCGGGCTGCGAACCTTAAGGTCAGCGGTTCGAAACTACCAGCTGCTCTGCGGGAGAAAGATGAGGCTTTCTACTCCCGTAAAGATTTACACCCTCGAAAACCCTGTACAGGGTCGCTATGGGTCAGAACTGACTCGACGGCACTTAACAACAACAAGATGCAGATAAGGAACTCTGGTAGCGTAGTGGTTATGAGTCAGGCTGCTAACCTCAAGGTCAGTAGTTTGAAACTACCAGCTGATCTGTGGGAGAGAGATGAGGCTTTCTGCTCATGTAAAGATATACAGCCTCGGAAATTCTATACAAGGTTGCTATGAGTTGGCACTGACTCCATGGCACACCACCACCACCACCACCAAACATGCAGATGTTTTACCAAAAATCTAGAATTATTGATACTTCTTCCTTACTAGGTCAAATCAGCATAATGTCATGGACCAGTGTGATGTCTTGTAGCAGGGAAAGGTGATCAAGGTCCCTACTGATTAAATTATGACATAGTGCTGGAGAATTGATGTACCTTTGAGATAGAACAGTGCAGGTATACTGTTGGACTTACTAGCTGAAGGCAAACTTTCTCATGATTCTTAAAAATTGGAATTGAGGAAAAAAATATTGACCAGGTACCAGGAAATGTATTAATTTACTCAAATAATGAAACAACATCTGAAACAGCAGTTGCAATAATCCACCATTATTCTCCAAGATCCATCTGCTTTTTGCACAGGCCAGAGAGCCGCGTTAAATGGGGATGTGGTGGGAATCTTCAACCTGCATCCTTCAAGTCCCTGATTGTAGCATTAATCTCTGAAATCCCTCCAGGAATGTATATTGCTTTTGGTTCATGATTTTCCTAGGTAGAGGTAGTTCTAATGGCTTCCACTAGGCTTTTCCAACCATAATAGCCCTTGTTCCACATTTCAGTAATCTGGTGTGGGGTTTCTGCCAGTTGCTAAGTGTGTCTATTCCAATTATGCATTCTGGAATTAAGGAAATCACTGAAGGATGAGTTTGGGGACTCACTGGATCCACAGTGAGATTTATTAAAATCTTTATTAAGATATTAATAAAACATCATTAATATCTTGACCACCATATGTCTCCACTCTGACTGGTGTACCAAGGTTACTTTCTGGGTCACCTGAAATTAGTGTCAGTTCATAGCCAGTGTCCAATAATTCCTTAAAAGCCTGATTATTTCCTTTCCTCAATTAATTGTCACTCTTGTAAAAGGCTGCAGATTCCTTTGGGGAGGGATGACAATGTAGTGGGGTCCTTCCTCAAGTGGACACAGCCAAAGGATTTTGGTCTGTAAACTGGTTCAAGTCTGGGAATTGATTGAGAGGCCATGACTCTGTTCTGGCAATTCAAGTTAGACTGCCATTCACTTGACCTAGAATTTCTTCTCTTGCACAGATCAAGTACATATTTAGTTGGTTTTTCAAATATTTCACTTCTAGGGACACCCTGCCTATCTAGCCAATGTCATAAATCCACACAATTCAGACCATTCTGATTACTACTTTGATTTTGCTGTACATTATGGTAACCACACCCATTTTATCTTTGTTGATTTAGTTCTTTCACTTGGCACCCCCCACCACAGGGTCCAATCAGTCCCATTGTAGTTAGGTGTCTTAATTCAATTAGGAAAGTTCCCACTGTCAAATCTGTCTTGCATAAAATAGCAATCATAGCAGTGTTTGAGGTGGCTGGGACTCCATTCACAAATTTGTTCCTCACTGTTGTGGCAAATGTGTCCTCTGGGCACTCCACGTGTAGGTTTATGGGTCTACCCTGATAAATCCACTCTAACATGATCATTTCCCAGTGCCTTTGTATTCCTTCCTGTACACAATACCAAGGCAGGACTGGTACTTCATCTTGATGTATTGTAGGCCACTACACAATCTATGCTTCAATGAATCAACCAAATAAACTATTAGATTCTCTCCTAATCTCCCAAACTAAACCACTGAATGAAGAATTTGTGCTTAGTGATCCCATGTCAATAAACTGAGACTGATCCAACTTTATGTTCCTTGTACTATTATCCTATACTCTTAATAGCCATTTGCACACATATTCTCCAGTCTTCTATTTGTACATATCAGCAAATCAAGCAGTCCTTTGGGACTGTAGTGTACTTTTTCCTGGGTCAAATTTGTACTTTACCTTTTGGGACTCAAGTCTAGTTATAGGTCTAGAAGCAGTAGTTGGTGTAGGTGTTTCCAGGGAGCATTCAGCAATGTTTTACAAGACATCTACCTTAGGTGATTCCCCAGACAATACCTCAGGCATCATCTCAGCCAACACAATTGGGTTAATCTCATTGACTATGGACGGAGGAGATAATGATTCACTAATGGATCAGCAGAAAAAAATGGAGTAATATCTTTAGGTGGGAAGTGTGGTGCTGCTGCTAAGAGTGATTTGACAAAATTTAGGAGCTCAGTGTCCCAGATTCCTGATTATTTGTCCATATGTCCCCATCCCAAGTTTTAGGATCACATTGTTCCCAATTAATGTCCTTACTTTAACCTCAGATACCATTCAATATGGGAAATTCAGTTGGTGTTGTAATTCAGCCACTCTTGAGACTTGGGTTTGGTTTTCAGCAGTATCAGCTCTGTTACTACAAGAAATAAGACCCCTTTCATAGGACAAGTAGAAACTTTGAGGTCTTTTCTGCATTGCTTAAGCCATAACTCCGAAGCCCTGAGCTGGCTTCTTTCTTTTACCACTTTGTCTATTGTTGGTAGGACCAACCAAAAAGCCTCCATATTCTTCTCTAGACAAAATTTCAGGAAAGTTTCAAAACCCTATCACCCAATTCAATACTTGATCTACAGGTGGTGATATTTTACCTATTAACATTGTCATTTCATGGCATGGATTAGCAGCAACCCTTTGACTAAAAGAAACATAGTTTTCAGTGCCATTAAAACTAGTCAGACTTGAGAATCAATTTATAAAACCCATCCTTATGATTTTGTTTCTCTAGATTCACTCTTGGTACCAAATGTCTTAGTCTGTTTCTTTAGAGAATCAAAACCAGCAAAACTTGTATATGTATTGTTGTTGTTGTTGTTGTCAGGTGCCATCGAGTCAGAACCAACTCATAGCGACCCCATGCACAGCAGAATGAATCAATGTCTGATCCTGGGCTACCGCTGCCACACTTGAGTCCATCTATGATGCCACCTGGCCAATCCATCTCGTTAGGGGTCTTCCTCTTTTTCTCTGA